CCGCGGGGCTGTGCTGAGGGCATCGCGGGACCAGCCAGGACTGCTCTACTGGGCCATTTATTTATTTATTCATTTTATTTATTTATTTATTTTAGGGGCTGGGCCTTGTTTCAGCTCTGGTACAGAACAAGGCTATGTCTCAGTGTATGAGCATGCTTATTTTGATTGTTTTTATAAACAGAAGTCTCGGAGGCTTTTGGACAGATCCTCCTTCACACGATAATTGTAGGTGTTCTAGGTGTGTTTGTTATTACAGCACCCCACCAGCCTGCATGAACTCTAGTGCAGTTAGCGAAACTTGACTATAACCCGTGGTTGATCACTCTTGTTACATTTTAATATAAGGCTAAAGCTACTGAAACTAGTAGTGACGTTAATTTGTTCTTAATATTAAAAAAAAAATCATTTTTCACTACTGTTGCTCTGAATTGTGTGTACACGTTTGCACTTAGTTTTTACTTTCTGCACCATGCAGTCAGTGCCTTTAGTGATTTACACAATGAGCTCTTAACCTGTTTTTTGTACCTCTGGTTTCCACAGCATCTTTCATAGGCTAGTACACTAGGTGGTACTGGCCTCTCCGTTCCGTGCTAGGTAGAGACACCTGAACCACCATACAGACTAGACACCAGGTAGCATTAGAAGCCTTGTCCTTTACCTCGGTGACAAGGTGTGCAAAGTAGGAATCCTTCTTGCCATGCCCATCCTTCAGAGATAATTTGGGTGTCCTTGGTAAAGATTCATGTAAACAGTCTAGAAGTGAGCTGCAGTAACTCCCTGAGTTTGCAATTATGGTAATGCAAACTGAAAAGGGAAAAGGAAAATACAAATGGAGGGAGTAACTGTGGTCATGTAAGCTGGTGGCAGAGCTGGAGCAGAATGACTGGTCTGAGTGTGGGAAGGCCCATCTCTGAGGCAATACGTGCCTCCTTTTGTGCTAGCCTTCCACGAGTGGAGAATTAACCTTTTAAGAGTTGGGAAACTGAGGTACGCCCCTCTCTGCGAGGCATTACTAATGGAAATCTTGGCATGCAGTAATATAAATCAGCAACATACTGTCATCTCTGTAAAGCATCTAGGAACACAGTAAGGAGTTGCTTTGGGCAGCTATTGAACAAAACGTGCCAACTCAAAATAAAAGCATCTACTCCTTTAACGTTCCTCTCAGGGCATAGTTTAGGCTACAAAGAGCAGTCCTAGATCTTCAGTTATTGGAATTAAGCGTACAAAGTAAGGAGCTGTCTGTGACAAGATACCAGTAACACTCATCATTCAGTGGTGGGTTATTTAGATACTGTGGCAGGAGAATTAGACCTCAGTGCATATTTCTCTAAAAAAAGACATGGAGCGTGGCAGAGTAACTTAACAACAGATGTGAGCTAAGCAGCTGCTATTAGCATCTGGGTTTATTATGTGTGTATGTGCTAATAGAGCCTTAGGGAAGCTTTGTTGTGTTTAAAAAAAAAAAAAAAGTTGTGAGGGAGGTGAGATTCTTCAGATGCAGGACACTGTGGGTGAGGTGTGCAGTGTACCTCAATAGGTTTATCTTTTCCCCGCCCTTTCCTCACCATCCCCCCAAAATATGTCTATGGACATATTATGATCATGTCTTGAGCAGAGTCACAGTTTTGTCCCTCATGTTGCAGGTAGAGCCCTCTGCCACATCATGGATCTGCTTAGTGTTTCTCTGGGCTAAGGAAATGAGTTTTGAAAGAATGTATTATTCAGCAGTATATTTGAAAGTGTGTAGTTTTCTGAATGACACAGAAGCAGGTGGTGTTTAGGGGAGAGAGGGCTGGGTGGGTGTTCTTGCGCATACTTAAAGGAAGTTAGAAATATGACAGAAATCAAACACAGTTTTTCTCACAGGCATTATGTTAAATGTATGTATATGTGTGTGTGTGTGTGTACATATAGATGTATGTGTATATATGTATATATAAAAAATATTTGCTATTCCTAAAACATAAGTCTGGCATCTCTGTGGCCAGAATCTTTTATTGATGAGGCACACTGAATGCCTTTTATTAATTAAATGCCCTTTATTGTCAATACTACTACTGCTTATCTCTAATTTTTATACTCCAATGTCATTGGTAGGTAGCCCCAAACTGCTGTATTATGAACAACCTCCTAAAAGTGTAATTCCTTTTCTTGAAAAGTTCATGATCTGAGCTTAAAAGGAAATCTTGAGGGAACTTTGAAGTGACAAAAGCAAAATTTTAAAATAATTTTTAAAACGTATAGATATTTTGGTTTTGTTTCCACAAATGGAGGAGAGTAGTGAAAAGGGAGAGAGGAAAACTCTGCTTTGCTTCCACTGAAATAATGAGAATTTTTCCATTGACTTCGTCTGGAACAGAATTAGAGCCTAAGGCCTCAGCCATATAGGAAAAGTTGCATCTATGTAATTACACTTGAAATTGCTTTCTTTTTTTTTTTCTTTTTTTTATTTTTTCCTACTGACTAAGACAAATTGAATGTGTCTGCTTTGTTTTGTTTTGTTGGGGACTTGCACGCTTTTTCTTCTCTCTTTCTTCCCCCCACCCCCCCCACCCCCTTTGGTAGGGAAAATCTCTAGCATGTTAGAAGAATTGGATTCTTTGTGCGATGGGTGAGATTAAGACTCTGTATAGAAGCCATCAGATCAAAGCTGACCATTTAAATCTCTGGGACAGTCTGTATCCTGCTATGCAAAATCACTGATATGTGTGGTGTGCATAAGCATGACAACTTTTGTATTGGGTTCTGCATCCTAGCAAAATCTTGACAAAACTGAATAATCACAAAGAACAAAGTTGCAAGCTTTATTTTTATATATATATGTGTGTGTGTATATATATGTGTATATATGTAGTGTAATGTGCCAACCCTCTGTCAGTATTATTATTTTTTAATCCGAGTGTTTTATAAAAGTTTTTCTCTTATAGCAAGGGGAAAACTGATTGTGTATTGTCTAGCATTTGTTAGCTTATACCATTATACCCTTCCCATATACATTAATTATGAATTCAATCCTTTAACTAATTAAACCATAAATTCTTACATGGGTGTTGTTCTTCTGAAATAAATATCCATATCAGAAATTTAACTGACCTTTTCATTAAACTAACATAACTGCTAAAAACTTTTCCCCCCTACAAAAGGGAGTGTCCAGACTGAATGGCGGGGAGGGAAGCCTTTTTTCTGTTTTGAGAGCAGCTCATTGCCTGTTCTGTTTTACAGGGCTCCTCTTCAAGGTTATTAAAAGCTTTTAGTGATGTATCTTATTTTTTGCTACTTTAGCTGTCTTTATACTGTGTTATTCTCTCAGCTTGTACAGTGAACAGTGTCTGATCTGGTTTCACTGACTTCGGGTGTTTTCAAACTAGCTCAAGCTGGGATCTTGCAGGAGAGCTTGATGAGGCTTCATGGGAAGGCTGAACTGGAAGCAAGGGGGTTGCGAACCCTAAAAGGGGCAAATGGGCTCCCTGCCATGGAGCGCTGCCTGAGCCCAAGCGGAGCCAGATCAGCACAGTGAACTGAGAGAAACCAACTCCAGGAGGAAGAGAAGAATTTTTTGCCAGCTTAGTGACTTGCATGAACTTTCACAGGGTGCTATGCAAATGGCAGAGCAAGTGCTTCAGGAAGCATGTATGGGAAGGAGGGAATTTGAGCTCTTCAGTAAGTTCAGATCTCCTCATGATTTTCTCCTATATACCTTTTTAGGTGCTTTTCCATCCTTAATGTAACAGTTGTATAAGATGGTGAATAATCCTACACTGTTTTACTCTATTACTTTGAGGAACATTCTTTTAGCTAGTTTTGCTCTTTTTTTCCCCTGCTTTATCTCTTTTTTTTTTTTTATGAAATTTTAAGCCGAGATAGGCAAAAATTTGAAAATGCATCCTGAAACCAATAACCATCTATTCTCATTGGATCTAAGTTGACTGTGCTGTGTGCATTCTTCAGTGAATCACTCTGATATTAAAAAGAGAGGTCACGTGTCTCATAGGAGAGGACTTCTTAATTAAATGCTGCCCCACATCCTTGTCATGCCCTGTCTGTGATGTCCCTGAGGGGCTGTGAAGCATCCCAAGGAAACAGCAGCGTGTGGTGGTGTGAAAAGAAGTGCCCTCTGGATACCCTTTTACCTGCAGAACCCCACAGACCTGTTGCAGCCAGGGCTGAACAGACTTGTGAAGTGTTTGCTGTCCTCTAAGACATTCTTCTAATACCCACTGCTCAGAGAAAGACTTGCTGATCCTAAAAGAGTGCAGGAATAAATCCAGACTAAGTTAAAAACTGGTCTGAGCAGGTTTTAAAAAAAGTTTTATTCCACAAACTTTTAAAACCCAAAGAAAGCAAATTTGAATTCTGTGTCTTTCCTAGAGTCATTGAGGCTGGAAGAGACCTCTGGAGACCGTTTAGTCCAACACTTCTGCTCAAAGCAGGGTCAGAGTAGGTTGCCCAGGGCTGTGTCCAGTTTGGTTTTGAATATCTTCAAGGATGGAGTTTCTACAACCTCTCTGGGCAGCCTTTTCCAGTGTTTGGTCACCCCCACAGTGAAAAAGCTTTTTATGATGCTTAAATGGTTAAGTGGAATTTCCTGTGTTTCAGTGGCACCCAGTGATGGGACAAGAGGCACTGGGCACAAACTGGAAAGAGTTTGGCTCCGTCTTCTTTACTTCCCCCCCGCTCAGGTATTTATGAGCATTGATCAGATCCCCCCTGAGCTGTCTCTTCTCCAGGCTGAACAGTCCCAGCTCTCTCAGCCTCTCCTCATACAGCAGATGCTGTAGTCTCATCATCTTCGTGGCCCATGTCACTGGACTTGTTCCAGCAAGTCCATGTCTGTCTTGCCCTGGGGAGGCAGGCGCTGCACATGGCACTGCAGCTCAGTGCTGAGTTGAGGGGAAGGATCACCTCCCTCAACCTGCTGGCAATGTTCTGCCTAATGCACCCAGGATACCATTGGCCTTCTTTGCTGCAAGGACACATTGCTGGCTCATGGTCGACTTGTCCACCAGGACCCCCAAGGCCTTTTCTGGCAAGCTGCTCTCCAGTCAGTCAGCCCCCAGCCTGTACTGGTGTATGACGTTACTCCTCCCCAGGTACAGGACTTCACACTTCCCATTCTTCAACTTCATGAAGTTCCTCTCTGGCCTTTTCTCCAGCCTGTCGAAGTCCCTCTGAATAGCAGCACAGTCATCTCATGCATCAACTGTTTTTCTATTTTTGGTATCATCTGCAAACTTGCTGAAGGTGCACTGTGCCCCACAGGCAAGATCATTAGTGAAGATGTGAAACGGTGTGAGCGTCAGTATCAACCCCTGCTGTACACCTCCAGCTGGACTTTGTAGCACTGATCACAACCCTCTGAGCCCAACAGTTAAGCTGCTTTTCAGTCCACCCCACTGGGTGCTTATACAGTCCGTACAACTTACCTGGTTCCAGAAAAATTTCATCAGTTGGTCTATGAGGATGTGATAGGAGACAGAGTCAAAAGCCTTGCTAAAGTCATGTTAAACAACTTCTACTGTTCTCCACTTATGCATCAAGCTAGACCTTTCAACAAGCTATTGGGTGGGTCAGGCATGATTTCCCCGTTTAAATCTATGCTGACTACTCCCAATCACCTTCTTATCCTTAATATGGAAGCGGTTTCCAGGAGGATTTTCTCTATTACCTTCTTGGGGATCAAGGAGAGGCTTGCTGGCCTGCAGTTCCCCAGAGCCTCTGTCTTGAAGGCAGAAGTGGCATTTGCTTTCTTCCACTCCTCAGGAACCTCCATCAATTGCCATAACCTTTCAAAGATAATAGGGAGTGGCTTGGCGGTGATATCAGCCAGCTTCATCAGCACTCATGAGTGCCTAAAGAGCCTGTATCCATCCCTTGCCATGAGAGCTATCCCACCACATCTCTGTGATCCTGATGAGTTGTTAGGCCAGTAAGTGCGTACACGCTTCTAATTCCCCTCATTCCCCATGCCGTCTGCGTTAGCCTACAGGCACTTCAGATAGACACACACACAGTTAGTTGGTTTCCCAGAAGAGGTATGAGTGTCCCCCATCATGTTGTCCTCTTGGCACTTTCTTATTTGTGCACCGACATATGAGGTGGTGCCCTTCAGCCCTTTTTCATTGATTATGTGATCTCTCCTGTCCGCATCAGCCTGCCCGCTTTGCTTGCCAACCCAGGCCACCACCTCCTCACTTGATGGTGGGTTGTCAGCTCCCTTCCCCGTCATTCCAAGTGCAAAGCCCTCGTTACCAGGTTGGCCCTCCCCATGGCGGAGGTCACAAGCTTCCAGCCTTCACCATCATGGGAGCCTGCGTTTCCCCACCCGGTACGCACAGACTCTGCCTGCCCCTTCTTCAGTGCAGCTGGGGGTTCAGGCTTCTCTTGTATCTGCAGGGTCTTGGAGAAGATCTGGCTGATCTGTTTCTTGTCATCTCTGATACCACACAGTCTGCTGACCTCTTTCCATGGCTCCTTTGCTGGGTGACATATTGCTTAAACAGTGATAAGTTAAATTTTTTTGAATTTCTCATAGTGTATGGTGCTGCTAACACAACTGAAAGCAGGCTTATTGCAACGTGAGTCTGCTGCTGTTGGGGTTCTTTTAAGGAGACAAATTAATGCAAGTTTGTTTTTGATGTGGTGGACATAGGCACTTGGCTTTTCTCACTACTGTTTGCACTGTTTGTTTTCTCTCTGGGTTTCGGGCTCCAGGGTTGTTAATACTGAAGTGCCTCTTGTTGCCTGCGTCAGCCTGGGCTCTAATCACTCCCCATCATACTGGAGTTTGCGTTTGCCTTTCTACATGTTAATTCAGCCTTTTCAATTTTAGTTCCTTTGGGCAAATTTGATCAGCAAAAAGTTTGACCCAAAGCCTGTAACAGTATATGAGTATGCTGTCTCTCATCTCTAATAGGCTTTATATACACCGCAAAGAGACTCATGGGATTAGAGGTCAGTTTTTACTTAGAAACATGGAAGAGCAAAAATATATGTTAGTTTTCATTTATTAGTCAGTTTTCATGCAGAATTTATACCTGCTCAAATATCATGATGGGAGCTTTTTACACCCGCACCAGGTGTATGCCTGTGTTGAAGGCAGCCATGCTGAGCTTGAGCGTCCTTGTTTTGTAATCGGAGCAATGTTCTGCTAATGCAGTGCAGAGGACTACTCTGGATCACACAGATAAATTAGAAAATAACTGTTGTTGAACCACTCTTCTTTTGTTTTTCTTTGGCTTTGAATATTGCATCCAATCAAGCTGCAATATTAGATCTGATGCTTTAACTTAATCGGAGTTTGCCAGTTGTAATCTGTAAACTACACACCCTTGCAGGTGAGGATCTAGTGTTTCACCCATCCACTTTCCCCGTGTCTGACAGCGGTAACAGGGAAAGCTGATATTGCTAGGAAAGGGAAGGGAGGGGTGTAATGCGAGCATATAAGACATTAGAAAGCAAAATTAGTCAACTTTCTATTTCAGATTTCTAGCGAACTACAAGGGCAGAGTATTGTAAATATGACATACTTTTATTTCTTTAAATTCCTGTGGATATAGCTGTGAGGTAGCAGATCACATTGTTCGAAGATATGTATTTATCCAAAAAAACCCCAGCCCATATTACTCAATGGATTGAAGTCTAAACCTGTTCTCTTCTCACCAGGAAATACATATTTTAAATAATAAAAATGATTTAATTCTTGTAGAAGTGTATTAACACATGTGAGTAGTATGAACCTTGTTTCTTTTAGAAACATTTTTTTCCTTCTCCTCCTCTCCTTTCCCTCATCTCTTTCATTTTTATCCTGACCCTTTTTATTTTTTCTTTTCGGTGAAGTGTGTTACAGAATTACCAACTTCAGTTGTACTGATTCTCTAATCACTGCTCTTAACAGAAAGATTTTGATTAGGATCACTGTTGTGTAGTAGGGAGCTACTGCTTTTCAAGTATCTATGTAATCAGAATAGGGTTGCGATTGCATATAACATTTAATGTGTTTGCTCTTTGTTTGGGTTTTATTTAAGGGCATCTAGATGACGATGGGTTGCCACATGGATTCTGTACAGTCACCTATTCGTCGACAGACAGGTTTGAGGGAAACTTTGTGCATGGAGAAAAGAATGGTCGTGGCAAGTTCTTCTTTTTTGATGGAAGGTAGGCATTGATGCTCCTCTTTTCTATTTTCTCCATCCTGTTTACAGTGATATAAAACTAATCTATGTTCATTGTCCACTTCTGAGTGTCTGAATATGCTTTCTCATTAAAAGCTGTAGCTGGAAAGTTTCCTTCTGCTACTTTAGCCATAGTGCTGACACGATGCCTTCGTGGGCTTGGGAACTTTATATGTTCTTTGGTCAGAGAATCCAGCATCGTGAGCGTTTTTAGCACTGCAACGTTAGCACTGTAACGTTTTCAACTAATTAGAGCCTTTAGGAATTGGGATGTCCTCAAAGCCATTGAAAACGATGTTGACTTGGAACTGACTACTGCTGACTACTTGGACTACAAAGGTCAAGTCCACAACTACAAGAGTAGTAGTTTTGTTGTTCGTTTGTTCTATGGCAGTGTATCCAGACTGCAGTTGGAGTCAGAGCTCCATGTGCCAGACCCATGCATAGATACAAGACCTTCACAGAGGGGCTTGCCATCTGCTTGGTCGTCTTGGAAATTGTTTAGTGGTTAAAGGAGTGATTTAAATATAGTTCTGTTCCCAGCTCCACTTAATCTTCTGCAAGTTGCTTATGGCCTGATTCATTTTCAGAAAAGCCCCTATAATTGCCACTCTCTTCACTGGGAATTGTGGCAGTGAAATGGGGCAGGGCTGTGCCTGTGTGTGCATGAGGTGGTTATGTGTGTGTTTTCTTCTTAAGCTTTTGTTTAGAACACCTTATAATATCTCTTCCCCCTTCTCCCCCTACCCTGCCCCCCACCCCACCAATAACTGCAGCATTTCTCTCTGCAGTTGCTCAGAACTTCCTCAGAAGGAGCAGCAGATGTATAAAATGGCACGATTCTTCATGGTTGTGCAGCTGTCGGTGGCACTATGAATAGCAGCCGTTAAACTGACAGTTGTGTCGATTCTCCTCTCCTCCTGCTCAGCGAACTTCTGAGCAGGAGCAGAGGTATTGTGCTGTCTCACTGTGTCAGCCCCTCATCTATGCTTGGTGTTGCGTTTGCTTCATGCTGGAGACTGTGGGTTTTTTTCATTAGAAAGATAATGATTTTATTCAGTTATGCAGAAACTGATTGGGCCTCTCCCCAGCTTGAATTAAAAAACAAAACAAAACAAAAAACTGTTGCTAGTAAAGGCTTTACTAAATCTTGTGTGAATAACTGAAAATTGTTACTGCCCAGCAGCTGACCTCTCTAAAATAGCCTTTTTTTTTTTTTTTTTTAAATTTGGCAGACATCTCCTCTATGGATACATGTACATAACACTTGTGTGCTTGTTGATGATCTCAGCAGAGCAATCACTGATTGTATAGTTAGAGAAACTGACCCACTATTTTATTTGTAGAGCTACTCCTCCAAGTAATCTAGGGTACAGGCAGTGCTGTGTAGGAAAATTCAGACTGCTACTGCCTGGGCAGAGCCTTTTCTGTACCTCTTCAGTGCTGCCAAATCTTTTTTCTTCTTTTTTAAGTTTTAATTTTCATAACCCTTAAAAAAATGGAACAGTTGGCTACTGGGTGACTTCAGGAACTAGCAAAATGAAAATATACAAAAATAGTCTGTAATATGTTTCTGGAAAATGGGATATTTTTATAATATAAATCAGGCCCAGGCTGATTTTAATTTAGCTAAAGCAGTTTTAACCATGCGGTGACTTTAGTTACTAATGACATTGCAATTTACCTAGCTGGGCCCAGGTAGAGCGATTAAGTTGCTCTCAGGTGAACGGTTCAGGTGTCATGACATGTTGAAGGAAGAATGGCTTGGCACAAAACAGGATGTACTGTTTCCATTAACCGTGCCATGAGTAAGGCTGAGTGTTTATGAAGGAGCCTTATGAAGATAAATGGATTTCAAAAATTTCTCAGAACATCTCTCCCCTTATAGTGTTGTGTGCCTCAGTGCAGTAAGCTAATTGGTTTCAGCACTGACTGGATGTACTGCTCCCTCTGTGGTTTATTTCCCTCACAGGCCTGCCAGTAAAGGCTGACAATTGAACTGCTCCAGGTCTGTTGTTTGGGAATAGTTGAGTCCTATCAGACAGTGGGTTGGCAACAATATAAGTGTTTTCATTTTTTGAGCGTTGGGAAATAGTGCTGGCTGCCCATGTGCCTTGTTTGCTTCAGTTAGAACTTTTCCCTTCTTTATCGGAGCAGCTGCCCCCTTCCTGTTTCACTTAAGGAAGTGAAAATTTGGGATGAAACTTCAGAGCTGTTTTTTCCTCCCCCTACAAAAAAGCAACAAAACCCACTATACTCTTTTCAGAGAGAGAAATTTCACCTCTGGCATACTCCCTGTTTTGAATCATGTACTTCAGCTTTCAGTGGTGCTAGTGTTTGTTGGACCGCGCTTTGTGAAACGCTCGTGCCCAGTAACTGTGAGCATAAGAGCTGTGTTTGGCACTGAGCTGCAGCTGCTGTTCTCCATTAAATTAGAAGCTCTCTTGTAAACTGTCATCTCTCAAATCACAGTGGAGAACAGCATTCTTTTTAAGAGAGTTTTCAGTATTTCCGTACAGAGGGGGAGGCGGGAGGGAAGGGAGTGAGAAATGGATTATAGGTCAACCATTGTAACTTCAATACCTGGAAGCATATTGCATTAAGGTTTTTTTTTTTTTCCCTGATAAGTACTAGGTGGTGGATATCCTAGATATCCTGTAGGTGTGGTAGGTAATGGGAAGACCATACATCTGAAAAATCTTGACTTTAGTAAGACTTTATGTTGTCCCCAGTATGATAATTTGAGAAGCAAACTGGAGAAACGTAGGCTAGCTCAGGGTTTGTGTTAACAAGATTGCGTGTATGCAGGTCACAGGAAGTATTTATTTATTTGATATATACATATATACCAAGTGGTATACCACTTGATGCTGGTAAGGCCTTAGGTGTAAGTATTGTGTCTGGTTGTAGGCACTATAGTTTTAAAGAAGCTGAAAGAAGAGAGAGAGGAAGAAAAACACCACCAAAAGTATAGCAAATATGAAAGGTTTAGAAAGCCTGATTTATTAGGCAGGATTGAAAAACAGAATTTTTACTCTAGAATTATTTTTCTGACTTTTAAAAGTTTTCTTTATAGGCTATGAGAGTAGAAAGAGATGGATCTTTTTTACATTGTTACAGAGCTTAAAACAATGAAAGAAACTGCGGAGATTTGAATTACAGTGAAAGATTTTTTTTCCCGTGCTGAAGAACACTTCTAATTTAGCAACTTGTTGGCTTCAACTAGTATGATTGAAGCTAAGTATGTGATGGTTGTTTTTGTTGTTTTGTTACACAAACTGGGAGTAGCTGCTTCTTTTAAAGAATGTGAGCTCTGTGCGTGTTGCCAGCTACGATGAATTTCAAATTTAGTGATCTGGGATTAAAAAAAAGAGGAGAAAGTGATGTCACTTCTGAAATAAAGCACACGAATTTCTGGTGGTTCTCTCATCTGCTGCTCTCCTTCCCTGAACTGTGCTGCTGCAACTGCCTCTGTAGCTCTGTAGCAACCTGGTTCAAGAAACTGGTCTGGCCAAAAAATAATGCAGCTTTCCTGCCCCTTTCCGCTCTGCGGCTGGTTTGTACTGGGGCTGTGTAAGCAGCTGCTGTGGGACAGTGCCGGGCATGAGGCAAGGAGCTGTTTAAAACAGTATGTTTGTGAAGGAAGCTGTGTAAAACCAAAGCTGAAGTTGTGTTTTTAAACACACTATCTGTCATGCATAACATACCTTCTTTTATTGAAGTGTATTTTCTTGTGGAGACATTGAGCGGATGGATAACGTTATGTAAGATCGAAGGGCGAAGCTTTAGAAAGTAGAAAGTTAGTTCTGAGAAAACATTCATTCAGCAACTCTTGAAAATATGTGAAGTTTTGTAAAACATGTAGAGTCTTGTGATCCCAGACAAACAGTTTGAGCTTCTGCCATAGATGTCTGTGTCAGAAAAAGAATTATGCAGCAGTGAAAGTATGTTTATGTTAGCTTAAATATGCTGGAAAATATGCTGGGAACAAGCTGAACAGTTTGTAGTTCTCTGTGCTAGTTCTAACCTGAGAAAGAAATCCTGTAAAAGAGGACCTAGTCACTTATGCTTTCCTTCTTTGTAGTTTCTCTCAGCTGCCCTTTTTAAGAAAGGAAACGAAGCAGATTGTAAGAGTATTGTTACACCTCTTCTAACAGGATTGCAAGACAAAACCAAAGTGACGTTACTGTGTCGTGGCCTAAATCAAAATGCAGCATTGATTCTGTTTGACAAGCTGCATTCTGTTTTTATCAAAATACATGAAAAATGACAGTTCTTCTAGCTGATCTGGTACAGATTGCTGCTAAGTTTGTTGGTAGAGAACTAGCATTGAACTGGTGGCATGTTACAGTTAGTGCTGTGTTACGGTTCACCTGTGTGACAGTTCAACTTCATGTCACCGCAGAGATGTCACGAAAGATCCAAACACAGGAGGTAGAAAACCCAATGTGAGAGTAGCCTGCTTTAATAATTTCTTCTTTGGCCGTGAGCAGTCCATTCGCTGCATTAATTTGCTGTACCAGCCTTTAAAAAAAGGCTGAAGAATGCAATTTCGGTGAAGGATGCTGTGTCCATGTGGTAGAATGGTCTGCAGTGCGCCCTGGTGAAAGGACAATGTAAGTTGTTCTATCCTTCAGAAGTCAGTAGAAACAAGCTTGTATTTTCATGTTTGTTTTCTAAAGAAATTAGGCTTATGTGATCTTTTTCCTCCCTGCTCCTGTGCATTGGTTTCTCTGTTTTCAGTCTCTGACCATCCTGTTCCCCTCCCCCTTCCCCCCATCAAATTTAGTTGAAAGGTAGCAAACACGTGAGTGTGTTTTTGAAATCATGAGATGAGTTTCAAAAACTCATCGGGGATAGTGATGACTAGTGCTGGGTGGAAGGGAGACCCTCAAACTGGTGTCCAAGTGAGGGACCCCTTGGCTGTCGGAAGCTTTGGCAGCAGCTGACAGGCCTGGCAGCAGGCGTTTCCTGCAAGGCCAGTCCATCTGTGTGTAGCTCTGACCTAGCTACGGCTTGGGCTCTCCTCTGCCCTGTGAGAGATGGGTAGAGATGAGGTTGGAGAGATCACAGGAAAAATGAAAAAAAAAAGCTACAGTTGTTGCAGTTGTGGTGAGCATTTAGGGGAGGGTTGTAGGGTGCACATCAATATAAAACGGTTCAGTAGCTCAGCTGCTCCTAGAACTTGGCTTTCATGAAACTTTCCCCTCCGGCTCTCTTTAACAATAATGTATAGAACGAGCAGCAGAGGGGGAGGGTTTTGCTGTATCTAGGGTCAAGGCTTTGAATTCCCTTCTTACGGGAGTGAATAGTCTTCCACTGCTCTTCTCTTGGTCTTTTACCAGCACACTGGAAGGGTACTATGTTGATGATGCCCTGCAAGGCCAGGGAATCTACACTTATGAGGATGGAGTAGCCCTTCATGGCACATATGTGGATGGAGAACTGAACGGACCAGCCCAGGAATACGACAGTGACGGGCGGCTGATATTTAAAGGGCAGTATAAAGACAACATTCGACATGGAGTTTGTTGGATATATTACCCGGTAAGCCTGCTCTCCTGCTCTCTTTATTGCAGAATAGTGCTATTCCGCATCATTTTCTTCCACAGCTGAAACAAACAACCACCAAGACCCACCTATCCAAAAGTCAGCACAAAAATCCGAGTGGAAGTTCTGCATATTCTGATTTTGGATAATTCAATATACAGTTAAACCTTTTCAGTGCTGAATGTTTGTCCAGTAGACAGGATTCTGTGACGCTGCAAGATGCTGCTCCCATTCTCATCTTCCAGGGAAAACAGCCCCTTGGAAGTACATTGACACATTTCTCCCCAGGAAGGCTGCCCCAGTGATTCTGCCATTTTGTAATGCCAACTGCAGAAGAAGAGCATGGGAGCCATGCAAGCTATCGCAACCTGCTGCTTCCATTTAACTAGGAAGGGAGACTTCTGCAGGGTATGTTGTCAAGTCCAGCAAACATGATGTAACTGGTGTGAGAATCATGCCTCTGAGCGGAGGGTGGACAAGTGCTTTGTTCATTAAGCAAGCCAGGGTTTGGTCTTTCTGCTTCTTAGTAAACTTTGGGATGTTCCTCTGGGCAACTCTGGAGAATTTCTGATGTACTCCTAAAATGATGTTAGTTGCTCAAGGCAATAACGATTGTTATATTTTTAATTATTATTCGTATTCAGCCTTATTCAGCACTTGAACCTTTCAATTTTGTAATAGAATCAGAATAAGTGCTGAGGAAGGGGAAACATCCACTGGAAAACTTGTTTGTAGCGGGTTACCAACAATACCCTGACAGCTCTGGCTTTGGAAGATCATAGGAGTGGTTGGAATCGCAGAGATCTGTGTGTAATAATACATGCAATTGTTACACAGCTGGTCCAAAAGCAGTCTATTTTTGTGCTACATACTGACAATTAAAATAAGTGCAATATGATTTCGAAGGCTCACCACTAGCTATTCCTTGTTTTAACTGGTTTTCACTCTTGTCATTAAGCATGTGCATTAGAATCAACAAACGCTTCATGTACACCACCAAACAAATAGCAGTTTTTGAGTAATAATGTGTAAAACGTGTATAGCTGACACTTCAGGCCATACATCTCTTATTTCATCTTCCCGCTGACAAAACATTGCTATACCTCTGGAAATGTCAATCTTTGGAGGTTGTTCAAAATTATTTGTCTTGAAAGGCTAAAGGATGGAAGATGTTCCAGAAAACTTTACCAGGAAAGCAATTGCTTATATATGATTTTTGTTAGGTGCACAAGTTCTCACCCAGGCTTAAGGTCCTCTGTTCACTACTATGGTATGTTCAAAGCTCTTTCATCCTTGGGGTTGGACAGAGTGGTGCCACTTTGAATAAACAGGTCTGATTCTGTATCACACCTAATGTTTTGGCTCTAAGACATTATTTGAAGTTGTTTCCTTGTCCTTTCTGAAGTAAACACTTGAAGCTGTTAGACCTGTGCTACTGTGTGCCTCTCATTCTGCAGTTCCATAAATAGATCTAACCTGAGTTACAGGCAAGTTACAGATGGCAAAGCTCAGGGCTAAAATGCATAGTGCTTGGAGAGGAAAAGGGTTGCTGGCTTTCAGTAAACAAGTGTTCTCATCATGTGCCTCCTCACACCTGGGAGGCTGCTGGCGACAGAGAAGCTTCTCAGTCCTCCCGAGAATCCTTGGTGCTGTGTAGGCTCATGTCCTTTCGTGTACCATCACACGAAAGGCACAAGGCAGCATTTTTTTCTCCAGCACGATATCATGCTAAAAAACGTAGACAAAGTTTGTATTTGGCTTTGTGCCTTGATTCACAAACTGTTAACATAAAAATTCTGTGAATTGCAACTCAGTGTTTTTGTGTCACATGGAAGGAAAAAAACTTGGGTTTTGCTATTTCAAATGAGGTAGAAGGTCCAGCTCATTTCTTGCATAATTTTTATCCTGACTGGAATTACACTTTACCCAGCTTCTTTGTGTGTGCATGTATGTTTCTCACTTCTTTTCATTAGCTCTCATCTGAACTTGCTGTACTTTAGATTACTTCTTCAAAAAAGCCAGAAAACGACTTTGTCATTTACTAAAGATAGTTACATATAGCTAAATGCTCTTCCTTTTCTTTCTCGCACATGCTCTCAGGATGGAGGCAGCCTTGTGGGAGAAGTGAATGAAGAAGGGGAGATGACTGGAGAGAAAATAGCTTACGTGTACCCTGATGGAAAAACTGCGTATTCTGGAAGGTTCATAGATGGAGAAATGATAGAAGCAAAACTGGCAACTCTGACATCTGTAGAGGATGGGAAACCTCAATTTGAAGTAGTACCAGGCAGTAAGTTCAGCTAATGCAGCAACTTGCTTTCTTGCTGCCAGCCCTTCGCTGCAAACAGCTCAGTCTCCATCCTGTTTCCTAGCAGAGGTTCCAACGGCTGACTGTGGTGGGGAAATGAGTTACTAGTGAGAACCCCTCTTTCTAATAGATTTCCTTATTGTTAAGGATAATTATGAAGTTGGTCAGAAGTACATGTGCATGTTGTTTCCTTTGCTCTGGAAATCTTAAAAAACAAAAAAAAAAAAAAAAGAAGACTTTTAAGAGGTTGAAAAATGAGAAGTCACCTTTATGGTGGTGCTGCTGAATTGCTTTTCATTACTCTTCTCCCTCATACTCATGGACACAGTCCTGCCTGACGCATGTACCATTGTCACCTGTGCCAGCATGAAAACCTACTCAACAGTGTTGGTGCTGGCACAGTTGCGAGTTTTGTTTAGTAAAACAGTATAGTAAAAGAACTATAAGCGGAGAGGGAGGCCGTAGTTCAGTTGTAGCTCTGCTGGCTGGGTTTGTACAAGAAAATTGCATCGCTGTGGGGGTTTGGGCATCTGTGTTACAGGGCTGAAAGGACACGGCTTGGAATTAATGCACTCGGTTCAGTTGTTGTGTAACAGTGTGATTCACTAGCTCCCGTCAGTCTGTGTAGCCGTGCTGATCTAAAATGGTTATAAAATGGTTAGCATCAGGGTGATGCCTTCAAGCCATGCAGCCAGTGCGCTTTCACCAGGGCAGTGGTGATGTGGGCCTATAGTTCTGGAGTGTTTTTGTTGCTCTGAGGTGTATGCGGTATTTTGGGGGGAGGGGGTCAAGCTGTGGACAGGACCATGCGTATAAACATCAATTATATTAACATATTTATCATTATGTCAGCAAAGGCTATCTTGTTCAGTATGAAATAAGAACATAAAGCTCAGTAAAAAGGGAATGAGAAGTGAAAAAATGCACAGAGCCTTTTGTTTTTATTTTTTAAAACTTATAGATGTGACAGCAAATCGAAAGTCAACTTAAATCTTCTGAGAGGGTACAGTTGTGCTTTGTAAATAGGGTACAATTACACTCTGTATGTGGCTGGCTTCAGTCAGAGCAGATCCGTTTTTAGCACTTAGATGCCGTGGACAATGGCCTTTTATCAAACTTTGCAATATTCTGTTTTTTTCTCCCTTTTTTATTTCCACCAGCATCTTAGACTATCCCTGAAATAATCTTCTGGCAGTTGATTACAGAGGGGTGTAAGAATACAATCAGAGGTTTACCACCAAGTTGTTTAATGACGGCAGGAAATGAATGACTGCAACAGATGTACTTTGTGATTACTCAGTATTATCTTCTGGCTGACATCTTTTCTAGTTTTAAACTAGAAAACGTTTGATTTGTTATTTGAAATAGTCCAGGATTTTTTAGAATGAATGTGTTATTTACTATAACCTTTTAAAATTTTGCTTTATGTTCTAATTGTCCAGTCATTCGTTAAACGTTATTACTTTAAAGAACATAAATATCACTTTTTTGTGACGATATGCTACTCCTGTGGTATGTTAAGAAGGGAAAAAAGAATCAAAAAATAGCACCTCACTGAAGACTGTTTTTATGGGCTTAGCTCTATGTAATATTGTTTCTGAAACACAGCATTTATGTCTTGCAGTCATTAAAACTTAATTTTTGAATGTCTTGATTGCTCTAAGAGTTGCATGCTTTCAGTGTGTCCATTAACTTAATCACTTTGTTGATTTATCTTTTTAGGCCCAGTATACAGTTTTGACAAATCTACTTCATCCTGCATTTCCACAAATGCACTTCTTCCTGATCCTTACGAGTCAGAGAGGTAGACTTCTTTCCTTTTCCTCTCCCTCCTCTTTCGCATTCAAAATGTCTACATTTCTTTCTGTTATGCATTTAGGGCCTGATCTTGCAAACCTTTCTTCGTTTAAAGAATAATATCTGTAAGGGTTTGTCCTGTGGAGACCATCACTACGTATTGGTCAGCATTTGACTTGATTGAATTTCTTTCCAATTTACACAATAAAACTATACTCTAGTGGATAGAACATTGTTTAACTTTTTAAGGGATTAAACTAGGATAACTCATTAGTATTTCAAAGCCATATTCATTCAGGGCCTGAACTCCACTAATAGCCCATACCTAAAACATACTTAGCAAAAAAACATTCTCTTCTTATTTTTAGGGACGTATAACTAGTTTTCGGTTGGTATGTGCCGAGTTTGGTGTCTCGCACTGAACGGCATGTGTTGTATAGAGTTTGCTCCCCTCGCTGCTGATGTAGCAGCGGCAGGAATAAATCATGAAGCCGGAGGAAAGTGGGATTCTGTTCACGACAGCCCTGTAGCGTCAAAATGCCGCTTATCTCTGCAGATTGCCTCATGCTAGTCTGTTGGTGTTACCTTATGTATTTCTTCTGTGGCTAGTACACAGTAGATCATATAATTTACTTTTTGCCCAAATTTTTAAGAGACTTTGCTCTGTAGGAATCTTGATTGTAGTCCTTCTTTTCTGGTACTCTGAAATGCCTAGATAAGTGATTAGTAGAATACTGGCATTAATTTGCATCAAATAGTTGAAGATCTAGGGCTTCATCTTGAAAACTCTTGCTCAGTGGAGTAATAGCCTGTGAACGTACACACCGTCGACTCCGTGAACTTCAGTTTGGTGAAGTCCTCTGGGATGCTGGAATGTTGTTGAGGGTTTTCCTGAGTTGAAGCCATCATGGAGCAATAAGAGTAAATACGTGATTGACTTTTTAAAGTATTTTTCAAACTAGTAGATAAGGTTTTCCCCCCCGCCACCCATCCCCATATTCCCAAAGGGAGGGTATGGAGGAGAGGAAGGAGGAAGGGTTGCCTGTAGAGTTTTTAAATTGCACAGATTATTAGCCTTTTTGCTAGTATTGGTGCGATGATACTTCTTGAAGATTAAAATTGTAACCAACCACTAATTCCGTGTCCTTTTTCTCTTCTAGGGTGTATGTTGATGTCTCTCTCATTTCCAGTGCTGGAGAAGGATTATTTTCAAAAATAGCAGCAGAGGCTCGTACGGTTATGTCCTTTTACAATGGAGTGCGAATTACACACCAGGAGGTAAAGGAGAGAAAAAAGTCAGTCTGAGTTTTCATTGCTCCTTCTGAAATCTTTTTCTAATAGTATAACTTGACACCCCCCCTCACACACACACACACTCATAAGATTTAATAAGATGGAATTTAATTGAAAGAAAGGGCATGTTTGCCTACATTAAAACAACAAAAAAAGATTTTTTTAAAAATGCCTCATACACAGGAAGAGCTTCAGTTACATTAATTTGAGCATGTTTACTTTCAAACTTATGGCAACGTTAACCCCCCTCCACATACGCTGGATTTTTGCCTTGCAAACTAGGTAGACAGCAGAGACTGGGCCCTCAATGGAAATACAATATCCCTGGATGACGAAACAGTTATAGATGTGCCAGAGCCCTACAACCACGCCGCCAAGTACTGTGCCTCACTGGGACATAAGGCCAACCATTCTTTCACTCCTAACTGCATCTATGACCCGTAAGTAGTTCTGTCTTTTGGGGCTGCAGGGCTGATGCTGCAGCCTGGTGGCCTGGGCTTCTAGGATGTTTCAGGGTGGCTGAATGGGGAGCAGTGGGGCCAAGGGTTACAGATTCAAGTGCTGTAGGAGCTCCTGCTTGCCTGGGTCGAGTTGGAAACCTGCCGGCATTGCGGGTGCTTGCAACTAGCCTATGAGGTGTCTTAAAACTTGCAACTGTATTACATTTGTCATGAATTTTAGGAGCTGCCCGTTGATCCTAAAATGTACAAGCACAGCTCTCTAAATCCTAGCTTGGCTAGGACTGCACCATATTTGCTGAACTGCAAATACTTGACTAGCACCCTCAAATGTACTGTCATTTCTGAAACGCCAAAAATAAGCATCTTGCTGATCGACAAGTTGGTGCAGAGCACTAGAAAACTGTTTGATGTATACATATTTTCAAGGACCCAAATACTTTCATGCCAAAAGTGTAAGTGGACGGACATGTAGGTACATATGTAGAAAATAGTTGTCCTTCATTAAATAAGCCGATTTCCTTTACAGTGAGGGCCTGGGGGGAGATGTACAGAAGTGTGTTATGATTGTTTCATACTGTACTGAGGAAATGAAGATGAGCAATTTTCCATGCTATCTAGTCTCTTGTAACCTGGACTGTTTTCCCATCATGCAGATGTTTACCACTGCAAGCCCGAGGCACCTGGTTTGCCTTTGTTTTATTTATGCATTAAAAACAAGCAATATTAAAAGACTGTTGAAAAACTTTAAGTAGTAGGGCTACAGAAAAATGTTCCAATGTATCAGTATTTGTGGCAATATTACTTAAAGATTTATAAGGGTGACTCTAAACACAAAGAAATCTGCTCATCTAACATCGGTTATGTGACATCTCACTCAACTGTGAGTGACTTCTAGAGGTATTTTTAGAGGAGCTAAACATAGTCTGTCAATTGACAGTGGCAAGTCTAGTAAAAATGTTTTTTCCGTGTTGTCTAGGTTTGTTCATCCTCGTTTTGGGCCAATCAAGTGTATCCGTACCATCAGGGCCGTGGAGAAGGATGAAGAATTAACAGTGGCTTATGGATACGATCACAACCCTGTGGGGCAGAACGGGCCGGAAGCACCAGAGTGGTACCAGCTGGAACTGAAAGCTTTCCAGGCCGCCCAGCAAAAGTGAAATGGAAGCTCCTTCTCAGTTCAGCAAACTGAAATAGAAACTTGGATCTATGCACTACCTTTATACTGAAAACTGGACAACCAGGGATTGTTCATGCTGTTGCATCATAACTTTGCATTCTGTGTTAAGAGATAAGTTTCTTGCATACTAACTAGGTTTGACTGTGTTACTCATAGCAGATTTAAAATTAGCTAGTGTTGCACCAGTCTGATCTGGAGAAATTATTTAATATTCTATACAAGACGTGATATTCTTTGGTAGCTTCTGCTTTTGCACCATATGCAAAGATGCCAAAAGACTAGACAGAAAACTAAAATGGGTATATCGTTCACTTTTAGTCGGCAGACTTAGTGTTGCTCTCTATCTGCCTAGGCATTATTGTGCAACTGCATTTTGCATATATGCCACTTGTGGTGATAACGGTAATATTTTGATATTCTCTAATAGTAGCATAATTTTGCCTTTTTAAACCTTTGATCTGAATCTTGCAATAGAGCAGTTTATTTATTAGCATATAGGAGGCTGGGTTTTTAACTCCCTTTTCCTCTTGTCTGAATGTTGTTCTTTCTACAAGTCTTCTCTCACAGGAGAAAATCCTTTCTAACTAGTGGAAAGGCTTTTGTGTGTATGTGAGAGTGCCGTGTATTGGTCTCTGTGGCTCTCTAAATAGTTTTAGCAACAGGTCCAAAGCTAATATTTATCTGGCCTTTATGGCTGGCTTATTTTATTTAATTTATGATTATCACACGCAAATCAAGCTGTTCTTTGCATGAAGATTTTTCTGAAAGGAGGAAAACAATTTCAATTTTTGAAGGACTTTCAGAAGTATGTGTTCTGGAGAGCAAACTCATCAACTGCATTAGCATCCGTGAGTTGGTTTGTGTATCTCATCTGTTAAAGTGGCCAATTCTCAAGGCAAAAATTCTAGCACTAAATGCAAGCATCTCATATGAATTTGCGTAAAGGAAGTGTATGTATCTGAGGGCAGGCTGTAGTATTTTTTTAAAGAGATCTGTATCTTTTGTATGTGTTCACTTGACAAAGAATATGGCCTTATAGCAATCTTTCTGTTAGTACTGGTTTAAGATGCAGTAAATGAATATAGTGTGAGAAACCAAACTAAGTTTTTAAAAATATAGATGTGAAAAGATTGCTTTTGAAAGACAAACAATGAATGTAAAAACATTACTCGCTGCTCATTTAGAAATGGCAGTTAATCCATAGCTCAGTTGCAGCCAGCAGTGGGGGCTTGTGAATATTCATCTGCAGGGTTGTGTTCTGGGTTTTTTTAGGGGTAGGGGAGTTGTTCATTATTTGAAATACTGTACCAGAATTGCCTAATGCTGTAGAAGAGAGAAACACGGTATCATCTCAGTATACTATGGCCCTTCTGGGGCTCTGACATTCTCTTTTGGGTTAAGCAGCGTAGGAACAATTTGAATGCGTTTGCAACACTTTCTTCAAATGTTTGTAGTTTAAGAAGTGTTTATATATATGTAACATAAAAAATTTGAAAGTTAGACCTACCTTTCTATTGCAACACATTCTGGTTGGTTGCTTGAACAGTTGGAGGTGTCTGGCTCTCTGGAGAGCTAGACTTGAAGAATGTGTTGGGTTGGTGCACATAAATGGAAGGATGAGGCTGCTATTTTATGCAGCCTGAGAAATCCTTGCTTTGGTACATGTACAAAGTTACGGAATTATGATTAAGGACCTCTCTAATTTGGGGCTCTGTTTAGTTCTTGCAACTGTTTGATCCACCAAGCTTTTTCAACGCTTCACCATTTAAGCTTGCACAGAAGCTACTCTGTGTGTGTGCGAGCTGTGGGCGCAAGTGGGCTCTCCCAGCAGTGATCTGAATGTGAGCTTTGTCAGAGCCCACCTCCGCGCTCTGGAGGCTCCGGCCGCGGCTCCGCTCCTCGGCAGCGGCAGGGGGCCGACACAGATGATACTTCAGTGACTCAGTTGAGTGTGCTGAGAAGCAGAACTGATCCTCGCACGTGGGGGAGAGTTGTCAAAGGCTGATTGACAGTACAGCTTCAGCAGGTCAACCTCAGAAAGAAATACGCATGTTTTGAGATAAAAAATTTCCCTACTCGCCCGCAGATGATGATGTAGATTGTTGGTGTTTCCACCATTTGCAGAAAAACTTGCCTCTCTGGTGGGAAAGTATTGTGTTTATCTTGTGGATTATTCTTCCAGACTGTAAAGTTTGCCAAGTTTAGGCTTGTGTTTAAGTGCAGGGAAGAGGAGAGGGAAAATGTGTGGCTGAACCCTACTGTGAATGGACAGTAGCTCCTTCCACAGTCGCAATAACCTGCTCTGGAGTGCTTGCCTCTTCGCGCCAGCTAGAGAATCTTGTTTAACATGCTCTAATCTCAAGAGTTCCTTCTGCTTCATTCCTGATACATCTCTGATTCCTCTGCTGTCTCCAATTAACATAGACTTGCTTTTGTTTTAATAGGTATGTCTGTCTTTGTGCGGCCTGGGTTTTTTGTTTTTGTTTTTTTAAGATAGATGCTCTTTGCACATCAGGTTTGGTGGTTGCATCCTAAAATAGGGGAATCCTAGGAAAAAAAAGCCCCAAGGGTCATCAGTGTGTTCTCAAAAGCCATTAATGTGGAGATAGTCAGGCAGATTCTCTTGCTCTTGTGAATGCCTGTAGCCTGATAGTATGCCGCAAATATGTGGACAGTGTCTCTGTTAGTTCTACTGTCCTCTTTCTGTCTGCTCTGTTAACGATTTATTGTTCCTCCTACAGATCCTTCTTCAGTGACTAACCTTCTATAAAAGTTGTGCTTATAAAGCTGCTTTGGCTTGAATCAGGACCCAGCCTTTTAATTCCTTTTCTTTTTCTAATTCTTCTTTTTTTTTTTCTTTTTCTTCTTGTGTGTGGTCTTCTAGATTGGAGATGTTTAGGATGGTGTTTACCACTGGATAGTGAAAGGGCCCAGAACTCAGCGTGTCCTTCAGATGTTTTAAGAATAGTGAGCTGGTAAACGCAGATTTAGACGCAGGCTAGTTACCTAACTCAGATTAATGCCTTAACTTGGTCTACTTATTGCAGCTCAGCTTTTGGGGCTTAGCAAAACTATTTATCAGGAGTAGCACTTGAGACCTACACCAAAACTTGATTTTAATTTAGAGCAGACGAAATAGTCACTTTGCAGAGTGGTCTGTTTAGGTTCATAGAATACACTTGACTATTTGTGAATATGCAATAAGCAGAGAAGCTCCGCTTCTCAGAGTCTGGCCAAAGACCAGTCCTAGCGGAACAGAAATTGGAAGAGGAAGAGCTGATAGATATCAGCTGAACCTGGATCACCAGCTGACTGTCAGTGTATCTTTTTTGACTAAAGAACAGAATAGAAGATTTTGAAATTGCTGCTTTTTTCAGGTGAGGGTTGGTTTCCAACTTCCACGCTTGTGCTGAAGTCTGCAGGATCTCGATACAAACTGGAATCTGCAACAGGATTGTTTTCTGAGCTCCTTTATGATAAGGAACATATACCAGTCTGTACAAGAGGCTGGTGATCACCTACTTTAAAAAAAAAAGAAAAAAAAGAAAAAAAAGAAAACCTTAAAATGGTCTTCCTGCCAAGGCGGCACTGTGTTTTGTCACTAGGAACACAGAAGCTTAGTCTTCTGGAGCAGCAGGCAATCTTGGAGACCAGAGCGCATGAGGAGGTACAGCTGAGGGCGCTATCTGCTGCTGGATTGCTCCTTGGACAAGAAGAAGAAGAAGAGCTGAGGCCTAGAGAGGGCGTCTTATGTTGAGTCTGATGCTATGCTTTGACCTCTTTGGGATCTACTGAAACACCTAATTTTAGCAACCTTTGCAAATCTGAGAAGTCTTCTTTTTTTTTTAGTAGTAGTTAAAAAAAAAAAACAACCCTACAGAAGTAAATGCAAGTCCTAACTGCTAAGAAAAATCAAAACAAATACATGGAAATAGCTTTTTAGCTATCAGAGTACTCAATTCTGACTTTTTTCTACCTTTGTGACAATAGCCACTGGGATGGTCCTTGCTTTTTCCTAGATGTAGATCACGAGTGGCGACGAGGGTGCTTTGTGCAGGTTTTGAGGCATTTGGATGACTTGTTGTTTGGCTTTGTAAGGCTGCATGTTTCAGGAGCAACTAGATGGCCTTCTCTTTAGTGTACCTGTTTCACATTCAGAGCTTTTAGCATTGCACACGGTTGGCAGTGGCTTTATGGGGGCTGTCATAGTACTTTACTCACACGGAAGGGAGAGTGTTGTCAGAGGATTTTGCGCCCTCTGCCAGGAGCTTGAGGAGGAGAGTAGCCAGTGTATCCTGTCTGTCACTAGAAGCTGAGAAGTGGTGGAAATCGTCACTTTTCTGTTTCCTTCTCCACTGGCTTCAAGCCAGGTGGGGAGCCCCATATGTGGATCAGTTGTCCCCATCACTATTCCTGGGTGGCGTTTATCCTTCAGTGCTGACCAGATAGATTGAGTCAGGAGCTGTACAAACATCATTCTGTCCTAGAGACCTCTTTTGATTTTTATCCTTTCATTTAATTTGACAGTCTTAGAAAATACTGTGTTTGTGATGAGGTGATGAGTTCTACAGAGCCGGTTATCTGCTGCTGCTTTGTTTTCCTACTGCCCAGCAGAATTTCTGAAGCTGTGGGTGCCTGATGATTTCACCTCCAAGCGCTTAAAAACGTGCTTTGAAAACAGTGTCGCTAACGTGTTTCTTTGTGTGCTGGGATGCTGCATTAGACTTCTCCTGCCCGCTTACCTTGCATGGTCGTGTGCTCAGAGTATTTGGATGAGGAACACGGACATGGGAGCAGCTTTACCTGTGGATGTAACACAGTGTGGGCTTCACGCTTACCTATGCCCTTGGGATAACTCGTTCCTTGTGCTTTGTGTGCTAGAAACATGAATACTGTATTTTTGGAAGTAGTATTTCTAAACAGCCTTACAAAGGATTTTCTTTTTTAAAAAAGGTGCAAGATTGAGTGCATGTTTACTTGCCCCAGATCAAAGGTTTTGAACACTAAGGTCACTATCTGTTGAATGGACCCTCCTCTTGGCTCTCTTCTGTCTTCAGGCAATTGAAGCTCCTGCCCTCTTTCTCTACCAGTTTTCCTGTAAGTTATCTTTTTTTTTTTTTTTTCCAAGAGAACTATATATACAAAAATTCTAAGCAATGAAATGTTCAAGCCATAAAATCATGAGTGTGGGAAGACCCTCTTCACAAGTTTTAACATATTTGTATGTAAACTGATGTTTGTATGAAATATTTTCATGGTAGAATGAATATTTACAAAAAAGTTCCAATAAGATCTAAACCAAATTTAAAAGGATGTCTTTTTGTAAGATGCACGTGTAACTGATTGCCAATAAGTAGGTCAATTTTTTTTAAATGGGGGATGCAACAAGTTATCTTTACAATGACAAAATGGTCATTTCTGCTATTTGAGAAAGAATATTTATGCAGCGTTACACAGAGCTGTCATAAATCATTGCAATAGCAAGGCCAGTCACATCTTCAGAACATACCTCTCAGCTTGTCCCTCTGTGGTATGGTACAAACCCACCCATCTCTACTTTCTGCTGATTTCCTCCTATAAAATTTTTCCTACTGTAACTGTACTGAATTTAACTATTGAGCTAAGATCCGGACTAAAATTGTGTATTACTTACAGTTTCTGCTGGGCCTTCTGCTATTTTAATACTCTTTAGCCCATAATTTTTGGGTGTCTACGTTCTGAAGAACTAAGTGCTAAAGAATAATCCTTGGGGTAAGCTTATACATGCATTAACAGTTAACCCCAGAGTATTTAACTTGTATACAGTACTTGATAGGTGTTTTATGACATTTGTACTAGAACTATGAGCCTTACTGAACATCTGTAGGTTTATTCATGACTTTTAAAAAATGGATAACTCTAAGAAAGATGTTTACATGAATGATGATTGCCCTTTCTTGATGTTATGAATGAGGTTTTTATAGTGTGTTTGGGTGTATGTGCAAGGAAGCAAGAAAAATGTTTCTGGAGAAAAATAGACTTGACAAACATTTGTAATAAGTGAATTTTAAAGATCGCTTTAATTGCGCTATGAAGGCAATGCAGATATTAAAATATTCAGTTGACCAGAACACTCTCTCTCCTCGTTTTTTATATAGCATGGTTTTGGACATCCTCTGTTTTCTCCCTCTTGTTCCGTTCATTTGCTTTGCAACCACATTTATTGTAAGGCACAGGGGCAGAATGTGGCCCACAGTTAACGCCCTTCTAGGTCACGCTATATGCATAGTGAACTAACAGCTGAGCCCTTCTGGCACTGCATCGTCTTTCTTCTGGCACCTCTGCCATTTTCATTGTTCTCTGTTCTCAATGCAAGTAACACAAGCTTTAGTTGTGCCGCGTACGGAAGGACGTCCTGCTTCTGTATGCCCAAGTTTCTTTAACGGTAATATTTTAAAACGTGTATGTGCCTTCGTGTGTTTTTTCTCTTGCTGTTGCTAGCCCAGAGGCAGCAGAAAGGCACGCTTAGGCAGCGAGCAGCAGCAGAGCACTTTCCAGCAGGTAACCTGTCGCTGCGGACCCCCGTTGGCTCTTCGCGTCCTGTTGTGTGAGCAGGGAGGAAGGGGCAGCGCTTCGGGGCCTTCCCCACCCTCTCCCAGGGCCTTTCCGGGTAATTTGGGGCCCCTGCGGGTGTCCGTGCGGGGTGGAGGCAAGCGTAGGCCGCTCCCTCGGGCGTGGAGGGACTTGTGCTCCCTTGTTGTGCCTGGCTGTGGCATTGCCTATTGAACTCCCACAGCCCAAAGCGGAAAAGAGTGAGTTCCTATTACGTATTTGCTTTATCGCCCAATCAAGCAGTGCAGAAGATGATACTCAGCTCGGGGACGCTGCGATGGGCTGGCTTCACGCAGCGTGGCCGTGCTCAAGTTCTAGATGGGTATTCCAATCCTTCGTGCACGCTGTGAAGGCGGTACGGACTTATTCAAAGAAATTTTAACTTTTCTAACAAGTCAAACCATAGGCAATACTGAAAGGGTAGGCAGGCTTTCGTGCTGCGCGCGTTAGGGGCTGGCTAGGGGGGCTGGGGTGGGTTGTGTGCGTTGGTTCCCTGCCGGAGCGGGCGGCCCGAGGAGGACTGGGTCGCAGCACTTCATCAGCAGGCTGCATAAACTGCTGATCACACAAGCTGATGAACAGCATACAGGCAGGCGCTGTCACCAACTGAAAGCTGACGTACGCGTGCGTAGTGCGAAGCAGCCTGCGAAACTGCAGCAAAAAGGGGTCTGTTTTCAGTACAAAAGCAGCAAA